TTCCCCCGCCCCCTTTTTGGACCCCCCCCCCCCCCCCCCCCCCCCCCCTTGGTGGTATCTAGCACTTTGGCTACTAAAAATTACGACCGGGTGCGGTCTTATGCGTGTGGTATCTCATGTCGCCCTACAGTGTACTACCGTCATCTGAGAGTATGTTTAGCTTCTGGGCTCATGTCGATCCTCAAGAACTTTTTTTGTCGCTACAGTAGTGTTTTTGTGAGTGGGCGGGTAGGTGATGTGTTCAGTGGGTGTGTTATTTTGTGTCATACACGGTTCTACCCGTCACTCGCAGTGTCCAAACTAAAAACATTACGCATTACCATACCGCCACTTCACCACTGCTGTAAACATTAACCAATGGCGTGCGTGGATTCACTACACTACCGTGCGTCGAAAACGCAATCAAATCAACCACCCAGGAGACTCACCGACACCCCGACCGCCGCCGCCGCGTTCCCGTCCACACGGGCCGTTACCCCCGACGGTGCCTGCGCTGCCACAAGGTTGGCATCCCCTCCACTGCCGCTGCCGTCGGTGCCGAGGGGCTCCGCCCAATCGGTCGCCGGGGGGTGTACGCAGGCGTCGTTCGGGAAATCCAAGTCGATGAAACCGTGCTCCACCGCCATGCTGAAGGACCAGTACTTGGATGCCGGTTCGTTTTTCTCTGTGTCGTGTCGTGTTGTGTCGTGTCGTGTCGGGGTAGGGGTAGGGGTACTCATGTCTTACATCCCTTAGTGGTTTGACCGGGGGGGGGGGAAGGGTACGTGGAAAATGTCGGCGTTGCTTAAAAAGGCGACGAGAATCTGGCGGCGACGGAGCGGTGGAGGAGGAAAGACCCACCATACATGGGGACGCACTCAGACAGCATCGAATCACGTACACAATAGGGGAATGAAGGCATCGCTGGGCGTGGTTGGTGTGGTTCAAATCTTTCTCAACGTGTGCCTCGCAGCGGTTGACGTCTACACACGCAATTGATTCGATCAGCGCCTGCAATGTCCGACTCGTATGCAAATGCCACGGCTTCTGCTCCAGCTCCTCCCTTTCCCGGTCCACTACCAATGGGTTATCCGCAACAACGAACCCGCTACCGCGAGCCGAGCAAGTCAGATAGGGGCCCCGTGGAATGTATGGGGGGGGGGGGGAGCGACTCACCGAGGTGGTCCTCCAGCTTCCACGTCCAGAAGGCCCAGCCCATCTCCCTCTCGTACCGGTCGATCTGCCTCATGGCGAAGGACCGCGTGTGTTCGGACCACCAGCTGCTCCCTTCCCTCTCCGCGAGGTGATCGCACTGACCGAAGTCGGCGAACCTGTAGGCACCGGGGAAGGGACAGAGGACAAAACGGTGTTCCTTGTTACCAAAATTACAAAAGTACGATATCCGATACGGCGGGGGGCCCTCATTAGCGCCGGTATGTGCCCGCCAGATTAATAGGAACTATACTGGGCACCCGGCACCATTCAGAGAACGACACAACTTGAATGTTCCATCCTTGTCACACGATTTCACCGACACCATACCGGGCAGGGGCTCACCACCCCCACCGTATATACAATCACTGAAAGACTGCAACCCGTTCGATATAGCCCAAGGGGATGTGTTGAAAACCTTCACAGCAGCGAGTGGTGAAAGGAACCTGCGGGACCTGGGGTTATCTTGAGGCCGTCTACACATACGTATACACTGAAGCATCGGCTCTTGTTGTTGTTGCTCGTCGTCGCATGGACGCCATGCACAAGGCGCGAAGCATCGCTGCCCATCCGTAAACCGGTCTCCCACACAGAATAACCAACCCCTTTGAACTCTTGTTGGGTGAAATCAAAACCGAAAAACGACAGCGTCAAAGAGAACAACAACGCCAACAGCAGCAGCAGCAGCAGCAGCAGCAGCAACCACGAGCGAGCATGCTCACTTTGAGTCTAGCCAGGGCATACAGTTGTCCACGGCGAGCGACCACTCCCCGACCATAACCGGAAGCACGGCGCAGGTCTGGTACCGGAGCATGGACGTGTACGAGCACGCCATACGCTCATGCACATACATCTTCTGCCTGCAGCGGCACACGCCGGAGAAAGCGACATGACCGGCAAGGGAGAGGGGGCGCGCGCCAGGGGTTAGGGCGAAATTGGTCTGCCGCCGGCATGCATGTTGCCGGGAGGCCATGGGTGGGGGGGCTGTGTTGTCACCAGACTTATCCTCGCTATTATAGTTAGGCCCGAGAGAAGACTGGATGCGGCGATTCCAACCACAAATTCGGTTGCACAATGACCGGTCATGCATGCCATTTTTATCGCAAAAAAAACAAAAAATAGTCCGTGAACACAATACCAGCCTTGAAGTGGTGGGTGAGGGTGAGGGCAAGGGGTTCATGATGCACCAGCTATAGTTGTTTTCGTTGTTCGGCGAGAAAAATGATCTGCTACCCACAACCACGCGCGCGATCTTCTAGATAGAGACGAGAGGAATCCATACGCGCATTTGGGCACAACCAGTCGCTGTGCTACAAATATGGCCCGAAATGCTTACAACAACTGGCACGATCCCTAACTCTTGACGATTTTCCATCGCTCTTTGTTTGTATACTTCCGTACATGAGGGTGAGGAAATGCATTTTCACTTGAATGACAATACCATATACCATGGTACCATGTTTTCCGTCTCATTCCGTTCCGTCCCAAATCAAGGTCTCGCCGTACCTGTCTCCTACCGCCGTGTCCGAAGAGAGATCGGCCTGAGACCGAAATACGAACATGAACAAAACCACACGACGACGACGACAACAACAACAACGGTAATCAATAGGTGAGATAAAGCGGAACAGAACGAGGCGTGTGCGAAGGAAGGTCGAGTTGAACGGGGACAGAGGAGGCGCAACACGGAGAGGTCAGGAAGGTACGGAAGAACGTGACAGCAGTAGTCACGGCGAGAACGAGGACACAGTCAGGGGGACATAAAAAGCACAAGTTCAAGGGGATTAAAAGGAGAGGGTGGAATGTTTGCCTCGCAAAGCATGCACGTTTCCAAAACTTACTGCGAGGCACACGCTGCGCGCGTGATCAATCACGCAGGCGCGTGGTGCGGCCAACTGTCGACAACCACCACCAACGCAAAACAACAATCACAACAAAGAAACCATGACGACAACGACAGCAACGACAACGACAGCAACCCAACAACAACAGCAGCAACAAGATCAAGCGCTGCCTCACCGGGTTGAACCCGTGGTAGATGTGAGTGTCCTGTGCCGCGGAAAATCATCCATCACCATCACCACCCCGATCATCGTCATCGTCATCATCATCATCATCGGCATAACCGCGTTGGGGTCGTCGTTACGATGACACCGATCACGAACATCAGAACAGCAACAAAAATCCGGCACGGACGAAGAAAACGGTTCGCGGGAGAAAAGCCGATGAGGTCGGGAGAAGAATTCGGGGGGAAAAGGGGACGGGTGGGTCGGGGGTCGGCGCAAAACACGACGAACAGGACAGTGAGCGAAACACCGCACGCACGCGTTCACCATTCATCATCACACACAACAGAACAATCGCGTGCCTCCTGTTACAACCGTGAGGCAACGTCGTGGATTGCGCGGACCTCCCCATTTCTACGACGAAGTTCTGCAGACCATCATCCCGAATTCCTGCAGACCATAATCCCGACTGTGCCTTATGGAACGCCGTCCTCATCTCTCTTTCGTCCTGATAAAAAAAAAACATTGGTTTACTCCAGGTTACATGCACTCCTTTTCACCGCCTTGTTTCTCTGCTGCACTCTCTTCCAGGAAAGCTCTCAATAAAAAGAAAAGGGGTGCGTGATTGCCTACGGCGTATCAAACCATCTCCTCACCATGACGATGTCTTTGTACGGGAAGTTCTTCATGAGGGTGGCCCACATGGGTCCCCTGAAGGAGTCGTGGATGATGATCGGCATCAGGGGCCGCACCAGCCGCACCGCCGTGATGCTCGTCACGTAGAAGTCACGCACGCGGCCGAGGTCCTGCGTTGTTATCGCCGTCGTCGGTATTGTTCTGTTACTGTTGCTGTTGTTGTTGTTGTTGTTGTTGTTGTTAAGTCCTTGTCGTGTTCATCGCCGAATTTTCATCTTTGAAGCTCTGAACGGAGGGAGAAAAACATCCATCCATCCATCCATCCCTTGTTTCGACCTACCAGGCCAATCCTTCGCCCCCCCACCCCCCCCCCCCAACGGTACATTTACAACCGTACCAAACCTCCCTCATTTTCCCTGCCGACAGCAGGCAAGAAGCTTAAGCCCCATCCGGCAACTATACCATTTACCCAAACAGCGCGTTACGACAGCAGGGAAAGCCCCATCAGCCGCCATCCATCTCACCAGATGTGCCCAAGGCTCGTTCAGGAGCTCGAGCGCCATGATGTTGTCGAGGCCGAAGGAGTCTTCGATGTGGTTGATGTACTCCGCCATCGCCGCGAGGATGCGGACGGTGTTGCCGTTGTTCTCGGGAGAATACATCCACGTCTCCCCCCATACCTGCGGGCGTGCGGGCGGATGTTTTTTCCACGAAGCTTGACATCATTGCAGGGCGGTTGAGCTACCTCGGTAAATGTGGTGCGTTGATTGAAGCTTTGCGTTGTACTATATGCACCACCTCGAAAAAGTGGTACATGTGCGTATCTTGTGAAGTGAAGGAGTTGATCGTGATGCCAGGCCTAGGATACAACAGCCAACGCAATAAATCATGCAGCTGCTGCTGCTGCTGTTGCTGCGTGTGGGCAGTGAATCACGATAAAACAACCTGCTTTGGCATCAAACACACCCACTGCGAGATATACGAATACAAGGACAACAGGCAAGCTGCAAGAGCTACCCATGGCGACCACCGAAAAAGCTTGTGGGGTGATTCATCTCGTCCAATTCCGAAAATAAACACACGCGCGCTCACACAAGAGCAACAACAAACGCGGCCTCACTATCTCGTTTGGATCGGGGCTGGTAAGGCCGCTGTTGTCCAGTCCGTTTTGAGAGCCGGGGGCTCCATGGAGGTCGAGAATGACGTACAGGCCGGCATCCCTGGAAAAACATGACAGGAAAAGGGCGGCACGGGGTGAGCGATAACGTCGCGCATTTAGCACACACACCGACGTCTTTGTTGTTGGGTGGTTACTTATCGAGTGTTGGTCTTGGGCTCATCAGGACATCGGCTGTCCTGGCTGCGACACAAGTCTGACGCGCGTGTCTCTCCATCTCGTGTTTTCCCCAGGTGGCTCGACGGAAGGCGTGACGCCACTCGCGCGACACCGCCGAGCACAAACCGGTCACGACCCCCCCCCTTCCCGCACCGGCCGCCCCACAAAAAAATAAAATTGGTTCACAACAATGCACATACAAGCATGCGCGCTTGTCGCCGGGAGAAAACAGCAGTGCCCGGTTGTCCACTGAGGCACATCGCAAAAGCTTAACCAACTGCGGATGCCCCCCCCCCCCCCCCCCCCCTTGGTTTGTACGCCCACGCAGGAGACGTACGACGACCGCGATCTCGAGAAGGC